AACATGCAGCAAATCTAGTCTGCAACTATTAAGTAATCTCAGTAAGCCATAATGTAATCTCAGTTCTGTGTATTTCCTTGTATGCTGAAATGGAAGACTTCAGAGAGTGCAGTGGAATTATTGATCTGTTTAGTATTAGGAAAGCTATTGATTAGATGTTGGTGTGAGCTTATGTAAGCGTATGTTGACCTTGCAGGATATTTTATTTGTATTTCAACTATGTTTTATTGAAATATTCGGATATGTTAAGCAATACTGTTATATGCGTTAAGAGTATAATATACTTCAAATTAATCCCTTCAAGGAGGAATAGGATTTTATAAGCTGCAAGAATGTTTAGCACACATTTTTCAGAAGAGGTACTGAAGTGGGAGAAGGTAATAGAGGTCAAGTGGAATAAAAAGCAGGAGGGGATATTATAGGACTATGAAAATAGATTGATCTCTTAACTATTCTTTCCTAGATCACAGTTCTTTTTTTGTTTGTTTTTAAGTATCAATGTTTTCCAAAAAAAAGAAAAGAAAAGGGTGTAATATCAGCATTTTTAAAAGTGTATTTTACATCTACGTATCTCCTTTTCCCTTCATTACCAGATGCAAATAAGGTTTGTCAGGAATGCTACTTCCATAGGGAGGGAGTCCAATGCCCACAGCTCATACAGGGCTCTCACAGTACAATACCACTTCTGAAGAACTGCTATATCACTAGGCCAGGCTCCAAGCTCAGCAAGACAGCCCAGCACAACCATGCCCAGAGGCTTCTCTGAACCGAAGCACTGGCTCCACCTTTCTCCATAGCCCTCCCCCAGCCATTTTGAGGGCTGTTTTAACTATTTGCTAGCTTCCAGCAGAAACAGAAGTTTCAACTATTTGGAAAAATTGCAGAATATTTGCCACCGCAGGTCTATAGCCCAAATGAGAATAAATCAAACTTAAAAGTCTGTAAAGCAGAGAAGTGGAGGTGTAAAAAACAATTACAGCTTGCATCCAGCTGGGCTCTAATTTGTTGCACTAATGAAACATCTCTTTTAAGTTGAAAACCTTTGAAGAATGCTAATGTAATAATTAATATTCATGTTACCTAGGGAACCTGAGACTCTACCAACTGTAGCTAGAAGAGCCTTTGCCGAAAAAGCTATCCAGAGGTTTTTTCTAGAGCTTTAAGAATGATACTTCAAGGTAGCTGCAGGATCATTTCACCTCCCTTTCATTATCCTCCTTACAAAGGGGTAATGTGGAAATGCTAGACTGCTATGGAGTTGTAAAAACACGGGAAGAAAAAGAAAGAACAAATGAAGCACAAATGAAGCAAAGCTGAATTTTGTAAACAAACAGTTTGAATAGAACATACTTAAGTCGTTCTGTATGTGTGGATAGCACTAAACATTGGAAAAGACTTTCCCTAAATCACTCTTACCAGGATTCCATTTGTTCCAGTGAACTTACAGCAGGGCTAGATCTTCTGGTATACTTATACCAACCTGCTAGTGCCTGCTGTGAAGTCAGATAATCTCTGAGGAACAGTCGACAAACATTCATGCAAGGCACTCTGAATCTTCACTAGACTGCAAGAGCAATGAAACAAGTGCTTGCACGGGCTCCTCTGAGGGCAGTCAGTATCTGGCAGCACTAATGCCAGCGTTACAGGCACTAAATAAGTGAAGGTACAGGAGACTGGTTCCCTGGCAGAGACAGGACAAAAATCCATCACAAAAAAGTGACGGTGGTTATGGGAGGTATTAAAGAGGGCATCTTGGCCTATACTTGCCTTACGACTCTTGTTTTTGAGAAATGCATGTGTGCATACCATGTAGCCACCAAGAACCACTGACCACTGCCAGACAGCGATGTAGCCTAGTATGTGTGAGCAGGCACAGTGGAATAGCTTTAGGCGAAAGCGTTTGGAAAGGGAAAAGGGCAGCTCTCTGACAGCAGATGGACACAGTCTACACGGCTGCATGACAAAGCTGAGCTAGGTGGTGGAGGGTCACCCTGGAATCCCACACACTACTTTTTGTGCAGTGGGACCACTATGGTTTGTGCCAACCAGAGCTGTCAGCTGTAACCTTTTTGCCAAATATAAAGACAAGTGTTTATTTCCTGCATTGCACTTCTAATCCATACCCTTTAACTTGGCCTGGATCTGCTGGGAGTTAGACTTATAGGGAGAAGAGATGTGTACTCATTGGCACAGAGTTCTGTCTTCTAGGAACATAAGAGTTAAGGAGCATGGATTCATTTACTCCACTGCCAGTAAGATAATAGCAAACAGCAAAAGCTGCAAAGTTAAAACACAAGAAAGCTTCTCTGAGAAATTCACTATCCCTTAGGAATCTTCTTTTGAACCTTATTAATTAGAGGTTAGTTTATGCCCTGAGGCATAAGACATTAAATCCCTTGTAAATATGCATGTCTCACTGCTCTTCAGAACTTCAGGGTAATACAGAGATGTCACACAATTGACACCACGCCTGAGAAGCATTTAAGTGTTCACTCCATTTGACAGATAGGAAAACAAGGAAAGAAAGGAAGCAGCTTCTCTGCAGTTTAGTCAGCTGGCAGATTTCTGGTGACATTGGCAGGTGAATAATGTGACATAGGCAGGTTCTAGCTCTCCTCCTGATGGTGGCTAGCTGAATTACGTAATTCTGCTGCACAGCCTCTGAGATTAATTTTCTCCTCCGCAAAATGGGTATGTTTATCTATCTACTTAATGAGATTTTTAGAACTGAATAATATTTGTATTACACAGTTATTATGCATTACTGATACTAGACAAAATTAGAAAGAAGGAGAAATACTCTGCCAGAGGATTATTAATTGGTTGAAGGAAAGGGAAAAGGAGGGAATGAAAGATGGGGCAGTACCAGAGACAGGGAGATAGAAGGAACTGTGCATGGGGACTGGGAACTTCTAGGGCTGTCTAAGCAGATGAGGAATAGAAAGGGTTACCTCTCTCCATCACATTTCTAGAAGCTCTATTCCCCACAAAGCTCTGTCAATGCATCATTCCTAAGCTGCAGTGTCCTTGCAGAGCTAGTTCCAGGCTCTCATGCTTGAAGTCTGATAAAAAAAAAAAATCCGAGAGTGCAGAAAGCATGGAGTGTATAAAGGTTTAGTTAGCAAATTTTACACTGAATTTCTTTTTCTCTCTTTTTTTCCCCCCTTTTTAAAAGCCTCTATTGACCAACTGCTAAGAGACTGGAAGCCTTGAAAGTCTCCAGTACGGTCTGGGAGCAAGGATATCTGTAAAATTCTAACATCCTGAACGCATCCAGGCATTTCTGGAACATAACAGAGAGAAGAGTTGAGAAGAAGGAAAAACATAGAAAAGACTTATGCAAATACACACATCTTTTGTGCCATAATAATTTGAAAGGCCTTAAACCAAAGTATAGGTCCTCGATCACATCAGTGGAACTTTTGGATGATATCGAAGCAGAATAACTTTCATAGGAACAGCAGAATATACAGCGCTGCCATCAGAACTGCAATTGCTGCATGGGTTGGCACATATATGAATTAATTGTACTCTAGCTAGTTTTGATGCCAAAAGCATTGAAACCCTAACAGCAGAGCCCCTGAATGTTGAAGAATCAACCAAATTTGCCAGAAGGCAAAAAGACAGCAAGAGGAATAATGAGCATGTTGTACTTAAAGACTGAGAGTCTTGTATGAGGGTTTAGATGGAAGGTGTCATGTTAGGTTGCCGCAGGCCTGGAAGATGTAGAGGAAGGGAGATTGTGGAAGTAATAAAAGAGGAAGAAGCCAAGCTGGAGTAGGGATTGGTAGCACTGACACTGCCTCATACATCCAGCACAGCAGAAGTGCCAAATTGCCGGTAAGTGGTGGCTGGCCCATTCAGAAGGAAGAGAGGTTAAAAAAAGACTGGAAAACAAAAATCTTAACTGTAGCTGGGCAAACAGCAGATGATAGCAGCTTTACTTCCTATCAGCTCTGCATAACAACAACAAAAATAAGAAAAAAAAGAAATAATCTATTCTGAGGCAGAATGGTCTGCTTCCGCACCTTCTCATATTCTGATACCTCTGTGCACACCTAAAGCCAGCTAGAGTTTATTGAAAGTTTATCAGACCTTAACTCTATGCATTATACTGCCTCAGCTTTGGGAAACAATTGGTCAGTTATGATACACAGCAAACACAGCAATTTATGTTGCACATAAAGATCACTCCCCTTCCCCATTATTTCTTCTAATAATATCCACATGCTCAGTGTGACACTTAAGTTTTCAAAGCTAGTTAATTCCAAAGAGTTGGAAGGTAAGTCAGTTTGTTTATTTTTAATGATAGAATATTTAATTCTGTTCCGTGTAACAATGTAATTCAAGAGAGTATCTCCCCCCTGGAGAAACTAGGGCTGGCACTGTGAAGCTGTTCTCTAAACCCAGCATGACGCATTTCCAAATGAGAGTGGAAGCTGCAGCGGGATCGCTGTCCCTACTGAGCATGCACTTATGTGCCATCTTGAACATACGTGCGATCTTGACAGGGACGGGGGTAATCATGTGCTTATTTGCGCGAGGGTCATGACATGCACAGCTGAGCCTAATGAGTGCCTTAGGCACTTCTGTAACAGAAGCAATTGTCTTGGGGTAAGAAATATACCATTTCGTTACAAAGTCTCTTATCAGATTGCCAATTCAGATAAATAAAAACACATTACTAGTGTTCTTTAATACTGTACTTATTGTTTTGGGAATATTTTAATCCATTCTAGCAAGTTAGTTAACTATTCATTAAAGTGGAGACCGGTGAAATTACTTCATTTGCGTAGTTCTTTTATCTTGCTCATTTTGCGCAGTTCAGTGCAAATAAACAAAAAAAAAACAAAATCAAAAGAGTAAGAGAAATGCATAGCTATGTATGCAATTTGAAAGCAGTATTGAAAAGTATCTTTTCAATAGGCAAGATCTAAATTTATCGCTTGTTAGACAAACCTGGGCTAAACAGCTTTTCTAAATAAGACAATTAAAATTACCTGAATTTTGTACATTCTTCTGGTCTCTTTATCCAGGTGCAGTTTTGCAATTTGGTGACTATGTGAAGAAAATAATCTTCTGAATATCTAAAAAAGGCAACAACATCAAATGCTAGAGTATGTACATAGATGTTTAGAAATAATCTCCAAAACATCCAAATGATGCATGCATTAATAATAATGTGCACAGTGCATATATAATAGATTGCTTTTAGAACTCCATGACCCATTTTACTTCTATAATTTGTAACAGTACAATCCTCATTTAATTAGCTTGACCTATTAAACATTCTTTTTTCGTAGTGCTGTCCTAATGAACTTTTCTTTTCAGAAACTTCCAAAAGTATGCTGGGGTCAAACTTACATATTAGACTGTAACTATCCTGAAGTTACTGGACCCTTCAGAAATAATTTCCAGTGCAGAAGTCCAAAATAATACAAAAAACCTTTGTCTGGTACTTGGCGTTTTAAGCTTCAATAGTGTTTTGAGATATGGCTCTTGCAAGCCAAAATGAAACATTACACTTTTTCTGCCTTTTCTTTCATCTACCTTATAAACTCCCCAAAGCTCAATTCAACCAAGAGATAGATCAATATTTACAGGCATAAGTTTTCTGCAAATTTTCTCTTAAATAAAACAATCTGCCTGATATCAAATAGGACTAAGTACCACTGCAGTACATGGAAGCAAAGAGCTTTTTCTCCTTTTAAACCCTTTCAAGAGATTTAAATTTATCCACATGTGAAACTTTGAAGAACTTGTAAGCCAAAAGATTCGTATTATTTCTTCCTTTATAGGTTCAATGTTAATATCTCTCCTATTTACGCTTTTATCAACTTTTTAAAAACAATGACTCTAACTTACAAGGAGGACTGCGGGGAAGGGAAGAAGACATGATGGGGATGTCATATGACTATAAGTTCTGTGGCACTAACATCTCCAAAAAATATCTACCTTGTGTTATTTTAGCAAAAAAGGCCTTAGTGTTGGCCCAAAGCCAAATGATCATGAGTTTACTTAAGCTGGAACTTAGAAGTGTGTTTTTTGAACAGCCTTCCAACAAGAGCTGGGAAGGCAAGAAACCTCACTTGTTTTTAAGTTGAGCATAATAATTGATAAAAAGGAAAATAAAAAGTTTGTGGTAGCTTGCAATAGCAAAGCACTCAACAACCCAAAAGTTTCCTTCTTCCTCTGCGTACACTCGGTACTGAGAAAAATCAAAGTGTCATCCATAATGCTAGATCTAAGGCCATGAGAAACTATGGGTACTCACTGTCAGAAAAGGTGAGGAGCTTCTTCCCTACAACAGTTGCTCTTAACATATAACAGAAGTGGTGTATCTCTACCTAGAGTAAAAACACCCACTACAATGCAAGACTATTGCTGAATGGAATGACTTGCTAAGAAGTTTCTAAGAGCCCACCAGCTTTCCCCAAACAAAAGGTCACTTAGAAGTCATTACAATACAGAACAGCAGCTATGCTTGCCCTACACATGCAGTTTTGTTCACCTTGTGACTTAGGAAGCCAGCATGCATTGTCACAAGTCATCTTTGCCAGCCACTGGCACAGTGGCAAAAGTGGCAAAGCCGTCTTAGCCGCGTGTCCTGTGGGACAGGAGCTCCTGACTGCTGTAGCTCCCAACTCCCGTGGCTCCTGCGGCACCATAAGGGAGCCACCATATCTGCCCATGCAGGTTTTGAGGCTTCCATTCAGTTCAGTTCCATGAAATGAACTCTCTTTGAACGCAGACAATATTCCTATAAATTAATTGTTTTTAAAGACTCAAAATGAAGCTCTGGGATTTGCTGCAGCTGGGTTTACAGCCCAGAAAGCTTTGTTTTGTGCTCTGAAAGCCTATTTTAACGTTTCCTGCTTTAAAGGACCCTCAGGGACTCATTCCTCCAATGGAATCAGTCCAGCATGGCCATCAGAATTTCACTTCATGGCTCTGCTGTAACCTCGACAGTCCTCTTCTCCATTGTTCCATTTTAGAGAGCTGGGACTATATGTATTATTTCCATGGAAATCCAAGAGTTTACAGTACATAGTCACTGCTGCTAAAAGGATTTTATTATGCAGATAAAAAAGCTCAGGTAAATTGAACTACAGCAATGTGTGGACAAGACAGTAATTACAATGCTGAGAACAGTGAATGAAACATGTTCTGTCCTGTTTTTGTCTGTCAGCTGCATACAAACCATTATAATGACTTGCTGTCCTAGGAAACTCACTACTATTGTATAAGCCTAGCTGGCAAATAATGCCTTGAAGGTTTTTTGCCAGTGATATTTGTCAGGTACACAGTAACCTTCTACACTAACCGGAGTGGCTAAGGTGAAATTATCATGCACAGCTGAGGGACTGACAAAGTATAAGCTTCTTTAGGGTTTGGCAGATATCTAAGGGACAACAGCAAGGACAGAGGGGTTGACGGTAGAGAGACAATAGGTGAAATGTTGCAGCAGAGAGACAAATGCCACCCCACTCGTTACTTGCTAAAACTAAACACCTCCTTGGGTAGGGGGAGGCTGTTTGATTTAGGAGGAAAACTGAGAAGCAGGAGTGAGAAAGGGAGATCTTCCTACTATACAGCAAATATAAGAAAGAAACAAAAAAACCACCACCACTAACAAAAAAAAGTGCAACAGCAGGAAACGCGAGAGAAGGGAAGAATCCCTCATGCCTTTGGACACTTTACTGCTGCCAAAACAACCTTCCGTTTTCAAAGCCCTAAAGAGAGTGTGCGCAAGGCTCACTCCTGAATGAAAATGGAAATCTTCCAGCACAACTCAGCATTGCAGGCACTTAATCACTACCAGCACATACCTGTTATTATAATAATTCACACTTACATAGCAATTTTTACTATTAAATCATCTGACAAACTTTAAACTAGGTAATTTTTTTTAGTCTCCACCAGCTTAGGAGACCAGAAGGTCTAGAATGTCCCTGAAAGGCTTCTGCAATATAAAGCATTTATATACCATTCCTGGGGAGAACACATTCAAAAAGCAACAAAGATCCCAGTGGCTCCTCTCAGTGAAGGGCAGCGAGCTGCAATATTCACGGAAAAAAGCAATACCCTACTCTATGTCCCAAATGGCAGTTTCTCCTCCTACCTGTTCAGTTCCCCTCTGATTCATTTACTGGAACAGCTCCTTTCTTTAGCCACACTTTCTCAAAATTCTCCTACGTTTTCAGCTCCAAAACATTCCAGATGTGAAAAGTAAGTCTGCACTCCTGCAGCCTGTACTACTTTGTAAAATATGGGATGAATAATAGCTTTTGTATTGCCATAACCAGGTTTTAAAGGCAATACACTGGTCAGTTGTCTTTCTCTTGGTGTTAACCACTCAATGTTTCAGTCAACTGTATTCTTTATCCTCTGTTTGCCAATCTCTATTTCAGCTTTCACTGGTGCTACAGTAGTAGAAGGGTGGAAGGGTCTTCCACCCTTCAAAAGGGTAAAAACTTTGAAGACAGTGCTGTTGATGAGCTGGAATAGAGGTGGGGGAAGATCAAGCTTATGGGCGGGAAGGAAAGACATTCTTAAAAAAAAACGGAGAGAAAAGAATGCAATAATACAGCTAATAAGAAGTAGAGTAGAGTGAAGTTCATGAGAATGAAGGACAGAAAGAGAAACAGAAAGAAATTTGGTATTTAAAAAATTGGAGAGGAAGCTGGGAAAAAAGCTCCATCAGAACACTGAAAAAGTATAAAGTGGGAAAAGGAGGAAAACATTTATGTGTTTTAAAGAGAACAAAATGTTGGGAATAAGGCGACTTAAAAACAAGTGAAGGATCTTAAAACGCCATGCGAAAGTGGGGAGGGGACAGAAGAGACAGGCAAAGTTTTTAAATCATGATTTAATGTTGGGTTTGGGTTCCTTCTCCAGTCCTTTGACTGGAGGGGAAAAAAAAATAAAACAAAGAAACTCCCACACAGCTATTTATATATAGTGGAGGTTTTGCTTCTCATTCCATTTCTCTTCTCTTTACAAATAAAAAGAAAAATTAGTGTATATAACCCAATTTTAAAGACACTATAGCATGTACTTAACCTTAAGTTAACATTCAGTCCTAGTGGGAAGCCTGTCTTATTTACAATGTTTTCTCTATTGGGACACCCATATGGGCTGAGAGATATTATACGTAAACAGCTTCTCCTGCTTCCACACTAGAAAGCAGCAAGGAATTTGGGCAGAACTGATATCAAAGGTTTTTTCCCACGATAGGAAAAGGCAGAACAGCAAGTTGAAAGCTAAAACGGGTTTTGGATATTTTTTCCAAGATGTATCTACAACTGAATAATTAGTCTCCAATGGACTAGTTATTCTTATAATAATCAGAATCACAGAATCGTTTAGGTTGGAAGGGACCTCTGGAGATCATCTAGTCCAACCTCCCTGGGGAGCTGCGCTCTAGGCCTGGCTCTTATATAGGCCTCTGCCTAGCAGTGACTCACAAGGGTGCTTGACCCACCCAATCAGGAGCCACCTGAAACAAAAGCCCCAACTCCCTCTGACCAGGGCAGCCCAGAGAGCTCGTTAGCAGCAGCCCCACCTAGCTAGAACTTCCCAGGAGAAGTTAAGTCAAGGTCCCCTGCAGGAGTCCTTGCCCAGCTCTCCCTTCCTGCTAGCAGCAAGCACCGTCTAGTTCCTCGGGGGTCCCCAGAAAGTCTCCACAACTTCCAACAAGGCCCACAAAAGGCCCAGGCAGAGCCCAGACACTGCTGCGCAAACTGCTGCGTCTGTTCGCTGCCTCTGTTGGCTGCGCTCTGGGAGCTGCGCTCTAGGCCTGGCTCTTATATAGGCCTCTGCCTAGCAGTGACTCACAAGGGTGCTTGACCCACCCAATCAGGAGCCACCTGAAACAAAAGCCCCAACTCCCTCTGACCAGGGCAGCCCAGAGAGCTCGTTAGCAGCAGCCCCACCTAGCTAGAACTTCCCAGGAGAAGTTAAGTCAAGGTCCCCTGCAGGAGTCCTTGCCCAGCTCTCCCTTCCTGCTAGCAGCAAGCACCGTCTAGTTCCTCGGGGGTCCCCAGAAAGTCTCCACAACTTCCAACAAGGCCCACAAAAGGCCCAGGCAGAGCCCAGACACTGCTGCGCAAACTGCTGCGTCTGTTCGCTGCCTCTGTTGGCTGCGCTCTGGGAGCTGCGCTCTAGGCCTGGCTCTTATATAGGCCTCTGCCTAGCAGTGACTCACAAGGGTGCTTGACCCACCCAATCAGGAGCCACCTGAAACAAAAGCCCCAACTCCCTCTGACCAGGGCAGCCCAGAGAGCTCGTTAGCAGCAGCCCCACCTAGCTAGAACTTCCCAGGAGAAGTTAAGTCAAGGTCCCCTGCAGGAGTCCTTGCCCAGCTCTCCCTTCCTGCTAGCAGCAAGCACCGTCTAGTTCCTCGGGGGTCCCCAGAAAGTCTCCACAACTTCCAACAAGGCCCACAAAAGGCCCAGGCAGAGCCCAGACACTGCTGCGCAAACTGCTGCGTCTGTTCGCTGCCTCTGTTGGCTGCGCTCTGGGAGCTGCGCTCTAGGCCTGGCTCTTATATAGGCCTCTGCCTAGCAGTGACTCACAAGGGTGCTTGACCCACCCAATCAGGAGCCACCTGAAACAAAAGCCCCAACTCCCTCTGACCAGGGCAGCCCAGAGAGCTCGTTAGCAGCAGCCCCACCTAGCTAGAACTTCCCAGGAGAAGTTAAGTCAAGGTCCCCTGCAGGAGTCCTTGCCCAGCTCTCCCTTCCTGCTAGCAGCAAGCACCGTCTAGTTCCTCGGGGGTCCCCAGAAAGTCTCCACAACTTCCAACAAGGCCCACAAAAGGCCCAGGCAGAGCCCAGACACTGCTGCGCAAACTGCTGCGTCTGTTCGCTGCCTCTGTTGGCTGCGCTCTGGGAGCTGCGCTCTAGGCCTGGCTCTTATATAGGCCTCTGCCTAGCAGTGACTCACAAGGGTGCTTGACCCACCCAATCAGGAGCCACCTGAAACAAAAGCCCCAACTCCCTCTGACCAGGGCAGCCCAGAGAGCTCGTTAGCAGCAGCCCCACCTAGCTAGAACTTCCCAGGAGAAGTTAAGTCAAGGTCCCCTGCAGGAGTCCTTGCCCAGCTCTCCCTTCCTGCTAGCAGCAAGCACCGTCTAGTTCCTCGGGGGTCCCCAGAAAGTCTCCACAACTTCCAACAAGGCCCACAAAAGGCCCAGGCAGAGCCCAGACACTGCTGCGCAAACTGCTGCGTCTGTTCGCTGCCTCTGTTGGCTGCGCTCTGGGAGCTGCGCTCTAGGCCTGGCTCTTATATAGGCCTCTGCCTAGCAGTGACTCACAAGGGTGCTTGACCCACCCAATCAGGAGCCACCTGAAACAAAAGCCCCAACTCCCTCTGACCAGGGCAGCCCAGAGAGCTCGTTAGCAGCAGCCCCACCTAGCTAGAACTTCCCAGGAGAAGTTAAGTCAAGGTCCCCTGCAGGAGTCCTTGCCCAGCTCTCCCTTCCTGCTAGCAGCAAGCACCGTCTAGTTCCTCGGGGGTCCCCAGAAAGTCTCCACAACTTCCAACAAGGCCCACAAAAGGCCCAGGCAGAGCCCAGACACTGCTGCGCAAACTGCTGCGTCTGTTCGCTGCCTCTGTTGGCTGCGCTCTGGGAGCTGCGCTCTAGGCCTGGCTCTTATATAGGCCTCTGCCTAGCAGTGACTCACAAGGGTGCTTGACCCACCCAATCAGGAGCCACCTGAAACAAAAGCCCCAACTCCCTCTGACCAGGGCAGCCCAGAGAGCTCGTTAGCAGCAGCCCCACCTAGCTAGAACTTCCCAGGAGAAGTTAAGTCAAGGTCCCCTGCAGGAGTCCTTGCCCAGCTCTCCCTTCCTGCTAGCAGCAAGCACCGTCTAGTTCCTCGGGGGTCCCCAGAAAGTCTCCACAACTTCCAACAAGGCCCACAAAAGGCCCAGGCAGAGCCCAGACACTGCTGCGCAAACTGCTGCGTCTGTTCGCTGCCTCTGTTGGCTGCGCTCTGGGAGCTGCGCTCTAGGCCTGGCTCTTATATAGGCCTCTGCCTAGCAGTGACTCACAAGGGTGCTTGACCCACCCAATCAGGAGCCACCTGAAACAAAAGCCCCAACTCCCTCTGACCAGGGCAGCCCAGAGAGCTCGTTAGCAGCAGCCCCACCTAGCTAGAACTTCCCAGGAGAAGTTAAGTCAAGGTCCCCTGCAGGAGTCCTTGCCCAGCTCTCCCTTCCTGCTAGCAGCAAGCACCGTCTAGTTCCTCGGGGGTCCCCAGAAAGTCTCCACAACTTCCAACAAGGCCCACAAAAGGCCCAGGCAGAGCCCAGACACTGCTGCGCAAACTGCTGCGTCTGTTCGCTGCCTCTGTTGGCTGCGCTCTGGGAGCTGCGCTCTAGGCCTGGCTCTTATATAGGCCTCTGCCTAGCAGTGACTCACAAGGGTGCTTGACCCACCCAATCAGGAGCCACCTGAAACAAAAGCCCCAACTCCCTCTGACCAGGGCAGCCCAGAGAGCTCGTTAGCAGCAGCCCCACCTAGCTAGAACTTCCCAGGAGAAGTTAAGTCAAGGTCCCCTGCAGGAGTCCTTGCCCAGCTCTCCCTTCCTGCTAGCAGCAAGCACCGTCTAGTTCCTCGGGGGTCCCCAGAAAGTCTCCACAACTTCCAACAAGGCCCACAAAAGGCCCAGGCAGAGCCCAGACACTGCTGCGCAAACTGCTGCGTCTGTTCGCTGCCTCTGTTGGCTGCGCTCTGGGAGCTGCGCTCTAGGCCTGGCTCTTATATAGGCCTCTGCCTAGCAGTGACTCACAAGGGTGCTTGACCCACCCAATCAGGAGCCACCTGAAACAAAAGCCCCAACTCCCTCTGACCAGGGCAGCCCAGAGAGCTCGTTAGCAGCAGCCCCACCTAGCTAGAACTTCCCAGGAGAAGTTAAGTCAAGGTCCCCTGCAGGAGTCCTTGCCCAGCTCTCCCTTCCTGCTAGCAGCAAGCACCGTCTAGTTCCTCGGGGGTCCCCAGAAAGTCTCCACAACTTCCAACAAGGCCCACAAAAGGCCCAGGCAGAGCCCAGACACTGCTGCGCAAACTGCTGCGTCTGTTCGCTGCCTCTGTTGGCTGCGCTCTGGGAGCTGCGCTCTAGGCCTGGCTCTTATATAGGCCTCTGCCTAGCAGTGACTCACAAGGGTGCTTGACCCACCCAATCAGGAGCCACCTGAAACAAAAGCCCCAACTCCCTCTGACCAGGGCAGCCCAGAGAGCTCGTTAGCAGCAGCCCCACCTAGCTAGAACTTCCCAGGAGAAGTTAAGTCAAGGTCCCCTGCAGGAGTCCTTGCCCAGCTCTCCCTTCCTGCTAGCAGCAAGCACCGTCTAGTTCCTCGGGGGTCCCCAGAAAGTCTACACAACTTCCAACAAGGCCCACAAAAGGTCCAGGCAGAGCCCAGACACTGCTGCGCAAACTGCTGCGTCTGTTCGCTGCCTCTGTTGGCTGCGCTCATATAATAAGGACTAGTTATTCTTATAATGAGTGCAATTACTTAGCAAATTTTTATACTAGTACGTTTTTATACTTATTCTAGTGTATATGCTGAAATTAATCCATTAACTATGGTTGCTCACAGCAGGAGCGTTCACTAATCGGGAAAAAGACACTCAAGAATGAAATTATACCTCCTAGATTCTGTTCTACCTCTTTTTAAAGATCTTGTAATGAAGGGCTGTTAACTGGGATTGAGAAATCTTTTTGACTTACACTGTGGGGAAAAAAAAAGAATCTAACCTAGAATAAATCTAATACATGTGAAAGAAAAAAATGCAAGCAAACATTGCTTGAACAATTTCAGTTTCCTGTTGTATAGTTCCACATTAATATCAAGGAGAATTATGTGCAAAAGGAAGACAATCTTTTAGCCTTCTATTTAAAACAAATAAAGCAGAAAGCAAAGCAAAGACCTACCTTTTCTTCTTGATAGATGACGACAAAATATTGTCCTGAATTGCCTTGCATTTTGAAGCCTGTTCAAACTGGTAAATTCCATTTTTATTAGCAGTTGTTCTGTTAAAAAAAGGGGGGGAGGAAACAAACTTTAAAAGAGAGAACATATTCTGACAATGCTGCTGCATTTAATTTTCTATAACAATGGGATTAATCGCTGTTGGTTTTAGCTGAAAACATTACCAAAGAAATCTTATTCACTTCTACTGTGAAGCTCTTCTGTAAAAGGAAAGTTTGCTGCTAGTGACGGTACCATATTTGACTCTTTAAAGGAATCCCATTTCACACTATGAATTATATTATGTTGATTACAATATAAAGCAGATACGTAATTTAAAAAAAAAACAAATGAGAAGCCTCTTGAACATTATGTTTTGAAGATATTTAAAATATATATCAGTAGAATATTTTAGCAGATGTAATTTCCTAAAGTTTTTGATGAAATGCAATATTCAGAGCCAATTGCAAATATACAGGACATACGAAACACAGCAGGCGAAGTGGAACTTTATTGTTGAACCCTAGTTCAAGCAAAAACACAGGAGGGAGTATTAAGCTCAAGTCGCTAGCTTAGTGATTTGGGCTTAATACTCCTTCCCTTGTTTATTCATTTACACAGTGAGAATAGCTATTTGTAAAGGGAACCAAGGAAAA